TGCTTCCCCGAGATAGGTACTTGAACGTCGTAAACATGGCCCAACACAGGCTCAAAAGGGACTGGAATAGAGTGAAGATAGCCTAACATAGCCCGCCCTAGAAGTCACTATCTAAAGGTAGTGTCTGCGAGATAGGGACTTGAACGTCGTAAACTGGAATAAAAAACACCCCCTAACGTGGCCAAACATAGCTTTCATATTGCCTGACACGTTGGGCCATGTTAAATCCCTATCTCGAAACATGGAATCTATGCTCGGCCACGTTGGGGAGGGGGGGGGCACTTCCGGGGCTATGTTCGGTGGAAATATTGGCCCCTTCCATGCGGTGCGGGCGGTTACCGTCGCGAAGCGACGTGAATAAAGTAAAAGAGCAGCATTGCCCGAGGGACAAAAGTATGGTCATCTACATCATGCCTTGAGCATTTTGCCTGTATGCACAACCAGGCTGCGGCTCCTTTTGCCCCATCCCGCATAAGAAGCCCGCACACAAGATTCGTTGAAGCTAAGATTCGTCGATGGCAGCTCCGGAACATCTGGCAGTGGCATTCCAGCACTCTCATCCCACTTCTCTCGGGCCTCTGAATCTTGGGCCTGTGTATAACACGCAACAACACGGAGGAAGCACAAGGAATGATTTGTTTTGCACTTTAGAAACTTTAGGTCCTCAGGAATCATCATCTGACTGTGTTATTGGTCCACTTCAACTCCAAAACGGGCCTTGTCAGGAGGTTGTGATGTTTCAGTTTCCCCTTCTGGCTCTTCCAAATGGTGGTTGACCTGAAAAGGGCATGCCATCAGGGATCATTCTTCCACTTGGCTACAAGCAGAATGACTGGAAATGCGTCTGGGCCTGGGCAGCTCTGGCATCTATCTTCACGCCTGTCAGGGTCACTGCTAAGGCCCGCCAAAAGCATTGCACAAACTGTGGGACAGCCTACGGTTGATCTTGTGATGTGCTTCAAATCTGCGTGTGGACTGGGAGATGCGCAAGCTCTGACACTAGTCCCAACAATACTTTAGCATGGTGGAAACGGTAGAAACTGAGCGTAAATCCTCCCCTTTCCATGACCAAGTCTCCCACAAGCTTTGTGTCGTTTCACAGGATTGGCAACTGCCCCCCGCGATGCCTGCTTTGGAGTCCGCCCCCTCCTCTCTTTGCAGCAGGCTGAGTGCCTCTAGGTCTGCCAGAGAAGCTCCTCACCGACTACAGAACTACAAGTTCATGTCAGTTGTCGCCACCTGCTACCAGTGGGAGACCTTCCTGCAAGCTCCAACCAGTCCGCCTTCGTCTATTTATCCAGCATCTATGTATCTCCATCAAGCGCCACTCTCTTGATCTCCATCATATCCCTTATACTGCCACATCACTCCCTGGTCCGGATAACATGGCAAGCGATCCTCGAGCTGAATATTGATGCCTGCTCCTTCCATCCTCGGAGATCCTAGCAGCCAACACCAGCAGCCAAAAGTGCCAGTTCTTTCTGTGAAACTCCAATCTTGGTTTTCTCCTAAAATCTCCCAGCCTAAAGAAACACCCATCTTATGCCCCATGCTTTCCCATCAGGCCCTCCTACCAAAATGCGTTGTTTCTCGGCACATCTACCCCCCTTGCCACCTTGCCTCTCTAGCCTCAAATCTGTCAGGAGTTCGTGCGCTCGATCCTGAGAGTGTGACGGACGGAGCGTGTTGGCTACAGTACGGTACGTGTTGTTTTTTGTCTGGGAGAGGAGGGGTAGGCCATAGGGGTGGGCTAACAAGTAAGCTAACCAGTAATAAACGATAGCTACTAAGCTAGGAAACTTCTTAGGCTTGGACGCGGAAAGGCGACCCTTAAGGATTTGGTTCCTAAAATGTTTGGAGAAAAAAGCTTGGGGGGGAACCGAGACAGCCGGGATTCGGCTCTGATCCTTGACACCAAGATGTTGGGTGCTTGCTGCGTGCTTTGCTGCCAAGGCACACTCTGGGCAAAGTGCAAAGAGCATATCCACAGAAGGAACTTCCGTCTGGATGCAGCCATGCATCAGAGGCCTACATCGACTTTCTGGCAAGGATGTTCGTGAGAGCTATGCTAAGGAAGGTGTGCAATGAAACCCAGCCAGCCTCAAGCGTGCACTCCAGAGATAATATTTAGCAGGATACAATGACTAGGCCGAGCTCGCGGTGGTTCTTTGGGCCACTCATCCGCGACAAACGGCCGCCAGAAGATTGACAAGAAAACACAGCAGGAAAGGGTTCCTTCATAAATTGCATCACGCTGTGAAATGACGTTCGTCAAAAATACTGTAGTTTTCAGCTAAACCAGAAATGTCTGGGGTCACAACGTTGATGCGCTTGCTAATGACCCACCGCGACTTGCCGGTGTGGAACAAGTAGACCTTGGTTGGGCCACAATGTGGCAAGTGGAAGAAATCCCTTCTGCGAACTGGTACAGGATTCTTGCATTCAGCGGCACTGATAGCTTTCAGGGTCTTTCCGAATGTGTGGAAAGTTTGCAATCCCGTTGGTCGAGTGCGATATATCCCGTAGGCGGACTAACAGTGAAACAGGGAATCTTGGACTTGTGGGACTGTAGCAACAGCAAAGCTTGGAAACACCCTTATGCTGTTCGAGAAAGCTCGACATCCACGCATAGCAAGGAGCAAATGCATCCAAATGCATCTTTCTGTGTGGCCCGTCAAGCCCCTCAGGCACCCCTGCGGGTGCAGCAGATCTCGCCCGCCAGCAGGGTTTGTTCTGGTGCGACATTTGTAAAGGCCTCGCAACGAACAAACGGTCTGAGTTTGGAATTGGCTCATGTTTCATCGCAAAAAAAGAAGACTCTCCAATGTTCATCAAGCAATTAGTTCAAGAAACTTGGATACATGGACTAGTGACTAGTGGCTAGTGCCTAGTGACTAGCTGTTCTTGGGACCCTCCATCACTATGAACCTTCCAAGCACCCCCAAGGTCTTGGCTCATAAACGTCATTGATGAGCTTGTACCTTGCATCATTTGGTGAGACAACCTCACATGATCCTGAATCCTGATCCTCCTGATCGGATGGATTTCTTTATATGTCGTTGATGCCCTGAGCCAGGCCAGGCCATTGGTCCACATGTTGGGAACTGCGAAGACACCGAGCTCCCCACTTCCCGGTGCAGCCCGAGATGACGATCGCCGTCCGAGCCCCGCCCGGAGCCTTCCGTCCGTCCAAAGGCTAATTCAGGCCAGTTCAGGTCATGTGTCGGGATGAACCAACCGACCTGTGTTCATGTGACATGGGTCCGTTCAACATTTTGAAGTCATTTGGTGTTACTTAAGCGAAAAAACAAAGCAGCTCTGCGAACACAGAAGTCCCGATGTGTATACGGAAGCCAGCAGTCCTCCCTTGCCAAGGACAAAACCACAAAGAAACACTTACAAAAAGAACAAGCAGGTAATTGCGTACCTCTTTAAAAACAAAAAACAAATGTATATATATATATCTCATTTCATAGGAACCCAAAAAGTACTCCAACCAGCCCAGGGCCTGCGGCGCCTGCGGTGGCGCAGGACCTCATAGTAACCCAACCAGTGGCACGTGCGCAGGACGAAAGCCAGCCCGGGTTGGCTGTCGGGGCTCCAGGCTGGACAGGCGGCTGTCTCCATTCCTCGGCGTCAGCTCCTGGACCGCTTGGCGTTTTCGGTGGCCGGAACACCACCGGGAACATCACTGAAAATAAGGAAACAAGTCACACGTGTGCCAAATTTCCTTTAGTTGTACTTTCTATGTTGTCATCCACTATATAGGTTGGATTCTGACTCCATACCTGAGAAGGGGGGACGAAAGCCAGCAGCCGCCAGACGAGTGTCTCTTTTTCTTGGGGGCGTCGCGGCACAAGACACATGGTCGGCAGCTTGCGAGTCAGCGGTGCCGTGGATGTGGGGGGGCAGCAGAGAAGCAAGCCGGGCGGTAGTGAAAGAGAAATGCGATACGTTGTATGTTGGTGTAGGTCATCATCACAAGGCAATGGCATGCGTTTGTCACATGCAGGAAGGTATGCATCTTATGGAAGTTGGAGGGCGACATCAGCGTTAGCGAAGGGGAAATACCGCCTGAGTTCGAGTGGTGGGATACCACACGCGCGCAGGAAGACCTTTTCCATAGTCAGCGTCGGGGCGCGCGCGCAGCGCGAGTACGGCATGCGTTTGAAAAGAAGCAATTATGTGTTTGTTACATTTGGAGTGTTTGAAGTTTGGAAGAGTGAACGGGCATGTCTTAGCCGGGGAGGTCCAGCGGAAGTAGCTTGGGCCAGCAAAGGAGTGAGGATTTGTGTGCCTATCGATGCACATGCCTGGACTTGAGTGAGTCATGTTCTGGCTTGATCCAAAACACAAGCTTTTTCCTTTAAAGGGGCCTTTATTAAAACGATCCAAACACATTCTTTATTCTTCTCTTTCTTATCAACTCTGCGCCTTTCTCACTCAGAGGCCTTGACTTTCGCACCTGCGTGTGTAGATCTTTGGGCCGTGGACCCAGGCTGACTGGATGTGGCCAGAGCTGCCAGCAAAAAGGCAACGTCATGAGTCAGTAGTATATAGAATTTATTTATTTATCTATCTATCTATCTATCTATCTCTCTCTCTCTCTATCTCTCTATCTCTATCTCTATCTCTATATATCTCTCTATCTAACTATGTATCTGTCTATCTATCTATCTATCTGCACCGGCAAGCCGGAAAAACGTTCGGTGCGTGTGGACGCCGCGAGAAGCGTCCACTCCACCAACATCATGGTGCAAGTATAGCTTTTGCTAGGGGGCAGGAGCCCTATGCGGATATGTAGTCAACCTCGCAGGCATCCCTACCGAAACTCAATCCAAATTCCAGGGCTTGAACTCATGTGACTTTCGGTTCTCTATGGACTTCGCGAGTTACGGGTTGTCCTGGGAACTCGTATCCTACATGCGGCTGCGGTCTGCTCTGCACGTGGGTCCCTGTCTTCGCTCGAACTCGATTGCTCAATGTTCATTGTCCCCTTCATGATGCTACTCGGCGTCCATTGCATCACTCGCATCACCAAATCCAATTTTCACTGCTTTTCTGACCCTCGCTTTGGAGCGCTCTCCCCCACCAAGCTCCCTCCCCCCACACACCCTTAACTCACTTCGTTTGCTCTAAAAGCTCAAGCCTAGCCTATCGGCTGGCTTTCGTAATATATAAATATAGTTATATACATACCCCCTGTGAGTTCGGGAGAAGGCTGTGTAAATTGAAACCTAGCTCACATGGCACATGCCTGGCGCATGGCCGGCCTCTGGGCTCGGTCTTGGCGTCGACGTCTTGTCGCTCTGAGAGAGCATTCGTCGGCCTCGGGGACCACTCTGGAGAACCCAAGCGCCACCCGGAACCTAAGGGACCCATAAAGATTCATAGGGACCCACAGGGACCTAAGAGTCTTTGTAGCACAAGACAATCTCATTCTGTAGTACATTCTGTCACTCATTCCCATTCTGTTTCTCCACAACATCCACTCCTTTTGCCCATCTAGACGGGCGAATGAGAGGTGCCTGCAGGGGCAGCAACGCGCGAAGGGCTATTGGTGCCAGAGGCCTCGGAGCAAAGGGGAAATAGAAAGCAGTTGAATCGCAAGCGATAGAAAAAAGGACCCAAAGTAGACCAAGAAAGAAATCTTGGTGCATCATTCGTTCTCCTATTTACGCAGCACAACCGGCCTGTTTCCCGCGATTTCCTGGCAGAAAACTATGGTTTCAGCTGCAAAGAGTGGTTCTTGGGCTCCTGTCCTGCCAGGCCGACGTAGCCGCCTCCCTTGGGGCTTCCGCTTTGCCCCGGGCTTCTCATGCTGCGGGTCCTCGGTGGAACCACCGCCGGTCGGCCTAAACTCAGAGGGGTCTACCTGGACTGTGCTCGAGCACAACAGCTGCATAGAGGTCAAGGTGCGCACATGATCAGACATGATTGCACAAAGTAAAGTAGGGCCTCATGGTGTTCATAAATTGATCCGCGCACCACAAAGCCACCAAATGAACCAAACACAAACAAAGTTGCCCGTTTCGGTCGCGAGTCGCGCGTTAGTTTTTCTACTGCACTTTACCTGATAAAAACGAAGGTGGTGCAGAACCCACGCACTCTTTTGTTCCATGCTGGCAAGGTCGTGATAACTTGAACCAGCAACAGCCTGGTCGCCTTTCGACCGCACGCCAATTCTCCGAGCCCGGAAGGCCGTGAAGTATGGATTTTGTGGGGTGTCTGGCAGTGTCTGGTGTCTCCTGGAAGGTCTGGCTCGGTCGGAATGTCTCCTGGACTCGGACTGATAGATTAGACCGGTACGGCACCAGACCGCTACGCCGGGCTGGGCCACAGCTAGGTACTGTTCGTCGGAAAGGTCCTGTCAGAAGGCACAGCTACGGCGAGCAAGCTTGACTCTTCAACCAAAAGGAATTGCTCAGCACTGGTGAATTAAGGCAAGGACATGTCAAATGTCGATAACAAATATAACTTTAAAAAATCAACCTCCCACTATCGTGATTCCAACCAACTGAGAATTACGGCCATAGACTTCACTTCCAGCCGCGTCCTAATGGCAGAGCGAAGTGCAGCGGTGAGATCCCCGTCATGCGTTCGCAGCAACTGGGCGAGGATGGACCACTGAGAACCAGTGTGTTTTTCAGAAGTGCGGATCTGTACCTGTCTGTATTGAATGCTTTGTTCTCATATAATGCCATTAATTGGTGCTGTGCTGCCCTCAGAGCAATACCAAACGTGGCCCAAACGGCAAAAAGGGCCAGATATGGCCAAATTGCAAATTCGGAAAGCCAGCGCTTCCTGAAAGTGACAAAATACCACAACAACTCAGCGAAGGACTCGCTCGAGGACATCTCGGTCGCACAGCGGCAGCTCTGAACCTTACGGCGCGACTGAAAATAGGGCTGATAGTAGCGTTCTTGCTCCTAGTAGTATGGCCAGGAGCCCCTAGTAGGGTCCTTTGCTCCTAGTAGCGATGCCCTTTGCTCCGTTCGTAGCGTTCGTGCTCCTAGTGGCAAACCGCACACTCTCTCAGGTGCTCTGAGGTGTGCACACATAAGGTCTAAATCTTCTTTCTTTATCCTGACGTTTTTCAACGCTGACTAGCTGATTCCTGACTGTTTGCCGATGCCAGTCTCCAGCCTGACTTGCTTTAGGCGCGTTTCCCTTTCAGCGCGTTCTCTATCAGCTTCCTCCTTGTCTGTGCAAATTGAAATGAAAGCTCCCCCTCCGCACTCCGCACTGGTCAAATAGTTTAACAGCAAAGCAAGTATGCGCACTCACAAAAACAATCGCTGCTGTTCGACTCCAGGCTTGGGAAAGTAAAAAAACAAAAACAGCCGGAATGTCATGTTGTTTTGAGAGAAAGCAAGCCTTCACCTGCGAAGGTATTGAAGGAATGTCAACCCATCCTTCTTTTTCTTCAACTCATTGAGCTTGGCCTCGACCTGCAGTGCTCTTGCCCAACTTTGCAACTTGAATCACAAAGCAAAAGTCTATGAAAATCCGGTCCTCCTTGGTGTCTACCTTGGATGTGACTTTGTCCTGGGAGAATCAAAAAGTGCTTGAGCATGCTTGAGCTGCTTGTCCCACATGAGCTGCACAGCTGCAGGAACCCAGCCTCATCCACAAAATCTGTCAGCCTGTCCAACTGTTTTGCCTGCAGTCAAATGAGCCTTGCTCTGCCGAGTTGTTGCACATTGGGAACAGAATTGAAAAGATCGAACAAAGGGTGACCATTGACAACATTCTTACCAAATGACAACTGGAACAAATCTCGCATCACTGCACCACCCCAACTTCGGTATTTGTGACCGCGGAACTCGTCTTCCCTGTCAACTTTGGTGTCTGAGTGGTCCTTGCTCCGCACGTGAAAGTCCTCCTCCCGGCATCACGTGAAAGTCATCCCACCTCCTTGGCCGACTCGCCAGTCTTTTTGGGCTCTTCCTGCGGTTTTTCTTCTTTGCTTGCAGAAACGGCGGTAGAAACCCATGCCGATCACCTGGGCCTTTTGCTCTACGAGTGAAATCAAACAAACATATCTCAAGTGGAAGAACGAGTGTGACACTGGTTGGTGTTCCTCCTCGTCCTCTTCGTCACCATCATCATCATCGTCCTCAAAAACACAATACAAATGCAATAACACCCAACTAGGCCAGTTTTTTACCAAGTTCCTTGTGTTTTTCTCCCATGGCCACAGCTGAAGTTTCGGCAATAACGAATAGTTATAATGTTTCACTATCTGGATTGTTACATGTCTGTTTTGCATGCGTCCGTGCCAAAATACTGATTTGTGTCTTTGTGGTTTGGTGTTCTTCATGGGTGCCTGCCAGGCTTACAAAATTGGTTCTGTCAGAGTAAAAGTGGCAAGTGGCGGCGAAGGATGCAATCAACAGCCTCTGCTCTCTGCCATGTCAATTGCGCGCCGTCCTGCCCCCCCCCCGCCCCGGGACATGGTGAAAATGTGTTTGCAATCGAAACCTTTTATGTGTGACTCTTTGCACACCAGGAGGTGCAATCCTGTACAATCTATACAATTGAAGTTTCTCCTGACCTCAGATTTTGTGGAAACAACAGGCCAGATTTCTGCCTGTGATGTCCCAATTTCACGCCTCAGGAGTGGATCCCTCTGGGGTTGGGTTCCAACATGGTCCTCAAGGATCAGACCTTTTGGTGGACTCACTCTGCAGCGGGTCCTGCAGTTCACAGCCACGTGCTGCAGCAGGTCCAGTGGATGCCATGTTAAAGGGTGTGTCCTTCATCCAGTTCAGGCTGTTGTTCTTCAACAGCCTCGCCTCCAGCACCTTGAATCATCTGGCCACTGAAGAGCTGCGCAAAACTTTTCAACTCAGGAGAGGGCCGGAGGCTTCGGCTTCACTCGTTGGTGCCTTTCGGGGGTGTTCAACCTCAGAGTGGGGACAGAAGTTGCAAAGCCCTCGCTGCGAACTCAGGGTGATCCGAACTGAGGGATCTGCACCATCCAAAGAATCTTGCAGCCAATGTCCTTTGAAGGCGGAGCCATCCCTGTACACCTCGATTGATGAATTCGTTTAAGTTTTTTGATCTTTTGATTCTGAGTGTTCTTGTCAATCTCATGGGAGCCCCTAAGAGCCACACAAACATCCCGGAGCCATGCTTTTGCCCAGCCTGCTCAGAATCTCAAACGTCTGGAACTCTTTCAGACTGTGCCCAGAACCTCCACAAAGCCAACCTTGGTCAGAACGGTCACAAGGGCGATCAAATGTGGCATAAATGTTAAATCATATAGTGAGAGTGATTGCAATATCAAATGCGTTCTAGATTGTTCCAAATCGTTGGCCAATCTCTCAGCCCATGGCATAGGCATCGCCGGAAGGCAACATGGCAAGCATAACGCCGTCGTTCTTCCTTGACGGCCCAAGGCCCAACACGGCCACGACGCACCAGTGGCTCTAAAGCTCGATTTGTCTCAGTGGCGCCTGCGGGGACTGGCGACCTTGAGGCAGATCTCTCCAAATCTCTCCATCAAACACCCTCTAGAACCCCTTGGTGGGCTCAGCTCCTGACGGAGTCCTCCCGAACATCAGTAAAGACCTTGGTCAACTCACGGACTGAGGTTAGCGATTCCAGCAAACCTGTTCCAAACGACCCGACCTGCCACGGCGTTTTCAATAAGCCTGCAACCCTTGCCGCGTTTGAGATGGGGTCTGCAGGGATATCCTCCAGCCTTAGGGACAATCAAACACAAGAAAAAAACACCTAGAATCTTTTAAACAAAGCATTTACAAACGCCAAGGGATTGTTCCAGACATCATGCTTGCTGCAGAGCCGGATCACTCACCAGGCACTTGCCATTGCCATTGCTCGACTTCAGCTTAAGTGCAAGTCCAATCAGGACACATAAGACTTCGATCACTCGCCTTGCCCGAAGTGCTAGGGCACTGGCCAGCGTTCACGCTTGCCATCACGCCAGAATCCTCAAAAGGACGCTCTCATAGGAACATTAATCTATCCGTTTGTCCTTCTGTTTTGTTCAACTCAGACCATTCATCGCCTGCGACGCATTCATCTCCCATCTGCATGCAGCCCGGCCCGTTGGGACCATCCCTGCGCTGCGAGACCCAACCACTCGTCGAAGACCGTCTACACCGGGCCGTGCCTCGAGGTCTCCCCAAGGAAGACCTCGCCAGAAGCAGGAGAAAAAAAAGTTGCTGCAGAGTCTGGTTGGCAGATCTCCGAGGATCGTAGGCGTCGTAGGCCCTGGACCTCTCCAGATGGAAGAACCTTTTCGCCCACCTCGGAGCAACAGCTCGTCTCGTCAGCTCGTTTCTCGATTCGGCTTGCTTGCATCCGAGGGAGTGACCAGGCCATCGGGCCCAAAGCGCCCAGCAGCTCTGCAGCTGCCCTAGGTCTACTTGTTCGAAAGTAATGACTTGCTTGTCATTGCTTGTGATGCCCTTTTTGTTCTGGCGTAGCTGTCGACTCTGACTCTGGCCTGGGCTGCAGTAAGGACCCCGTGACCTTGGTTTTCACGACCCGAGTCAAATTAGTCAAACGTGGATAACAGTGCAAGACAAAGAATAGTTGCAAAAACGATTGCTACATCCCCAGCGCCTTGGCATTCTGACATCTCAAACTCTCCAAGATATTCATCCTGCATAGGGGGAGCTGGGAGCACGCTCTATGACACCACCAATGCAGTCATGCTTTCACCCCACTTCGCAAACAATTCCGGCATTCCGGTGCCATATGATACAATGCATCAGTCCATGAGGCCATCTTCTCGCGGAAGCATCACCTCAAAAAGAACCCTTTCAAACCAGAGGAGGTCAATTCGCGGCTTTCAGTGATCAATGACCGTGACGCCACTGTAAGCTCCTGGCTGCCCCACATCCTGAAATCTCATGTGTCATTACTGGACTTGCAACAGGTCAGACCCAGGTTGCAGTCGACATCGCATTGCTTCGCCCCACTATCAAACCCTTGCTCACGTTGGGCAGCCTGTTGTTGTTCCTTTATGCAGCGGGGCCCGGGCTATGTTGGACTATATATCTCTTCGGAGGTCGTGGCTCGTTCATGAACTTCCCAACGTTCAACAAGACTGCTGTGCCTTGAAGCTCCCCATGCACAAACTCCCCAACCTCAGCAAAAGTGTTTGTTCCTACACTGAGTTCTCCATCTCAAGCTCTGCTACATTCTGGTAGTTCTCAGCATCTTGCATAAACGAAGGACCTTATTTCGTGGCAACCCTGAGTGAAGTACTGTTCTGACAACGATACCGAGGTCTGGACTCCTTTGCACCTTCGGTACTGGCAAAACATAGAACACCCCGACCTGAAACAATAGTTATTATATAGTCACATCAATCACAGCAGTAGCACAAGCCCCATCATGAACCAGCTGCCCATGGGCTTGCCAAGATGTCGGCCATGCATCTTTCCACCAGACCAGTTGCCCTGGTAGAAACTACCCCCAGGCCTGAGATGAATCGCAATGTCTTTTTCCAACAACTACCAAGGCATAGGGGTATGGGTCCTAAAAGGGCACAGTGTTGAGAAAAACCCAAAAGTTTGTCATTTTGTCCTTTGCCATAGGCCTTTGGCAGGCCACGACAGTTTGCAGAGCGGGGGCTTTGTGATTCAAATCCTTGATAAGTCGCTGGCCAATTGAATCTGCCTTTTCCATCATAGAGTCCAAGCCTTTCAAGGGAGTGACGGCCCGGCCTACCAGGCCAACTTGGGGTCCAAACATGGGGCTACCCCTGCCTGAAGTCACCTTCGTACTGGGCACCAGTGGCAAACTCCAACGAACCTTTGTAGATTCGCTTGCATGGACAGGTCGTTACCATTTGCTGGGAAGCTCATGCTGTGGGGCAATCTCGACAAGTACACAGCCGTAAACAAAGGGTTTTTGGCATGACGTCTTTTTACCGGCGCTTTTCAGCACACCCTTGGGCAAATCATCTCGGCATCCGCTCAATAGCCGCCTCAGCGAACAGCACTGGTGCAAACAGGTGCGCTGCCAATCTCAGCCAGCCCTGAGGCCCGCACATGCCAGCCCTGAATCTGAATGGGTGCTGCTGTGACATGGCCAATCAAATAGCAACCTTCACAGCCAGCCTGGAGGATGGTGCACCAACAAAAAGAAAGCAGCCCAAGCAGCATGGAACAAGCCAAAGCCACGCCTCGCTTAAAGGGCATACCTCCCACGCAATGCACCGGTCTTCGCGGAGACAGTCCCGGCGGCAATCATCCGGTCCAACAGGTGATGTGCTGAGAATGTGGTCACCTTCCGGGCTCCCGAAGCCAACAGGAAACGACTGCATTGCCCGGTCTCAGCTACCGAGAGAGAGAGAGAGAGGTCTCAGCTACCGGTCTCAGCTACATCTCAGTCACGGACGAATCGATGTGTATGGAAATCCTTTGTCGAGGGTCTCCTCAGACCTCAAGGAGACCCAAACATCAACTGCCGGCCGCATGAGGTCAACTCAGTGTGTGGCCCCACGAGTAGGGGGGCAGGCTCCACCTCAAAGAGACGCTGGTCATGTTCATGTTCCCTCTGTGCACTGAAATGCCATTGGTCACACAGAACCTGGTGAGGTGGTTTAGCTAACGACACATTTAAGAGACCGGGCAGGCTGAGAGAGGCCGGCAAGGCCAAAAGTGTCCTCTCGCGCTTGCAGGGGAACCGGCAAGCTGCTAGGTGCTGCGTGCTGCCATCCGTGACTAAAAGGAAGTGAGACCTTCATCCTTCTTCCGCCAGACCCTCTTATGGAACTTCCTTGCAGCTATATAAGTGAAATCATATCACTCTCACTCTCCACTGTGCTCCTCCTGGGAGTAAGGTTTGATCTGATCTGGCCCAGACTCTGAGAGAGTTGCTAGGCCATCTAGGACTCGCATGGCTGCTTCATTCAACCTCACATTGGCTTGGGCCAGTCGCTCATTCAGTTCAGGCCAGGTAGCATCGGGCAAAAGAACTCTGGCTCTCTGAAATTGGTTGGATAGCTAATAACGACCTATGTTACATCTATACAGGGTAAAAATATGCTGCAGTTGGATGCAGTTGGGCTGTTATTACAAGACTTTCCTCATGGAAAAAGGGTCCGTCAAGATGGCCAAATGAGCGCCACTTGCAAAGGTGTGCGCACATTGCAGCAAGGAAGCTCGAAGTCCAGAAGCCTTGCGTTCTCAAGGATCCGCACATGCGTGGCACTCTTGGGGATGACGCCCACTCCACGCTGCAGGGCCCAACGATGCAGAATTTGTGAGGCACTCCGCCCGACAGAAGTGGCAATGGCCAGCACATGTGGGTCCTCCAAGGGCGACATAATATGAGGCCATTCTGTCTGAATGGAATATCCCATGACCACCATCTCATTGGCCTGTGCAAAGGCCACGACATCCTCGCTCGGGATCTGCTCACCTGGCTTGTAGACCTTGAAGAGGTTCTGAACATAAGCTGGAGGGACCCGGGCAAAGGACAGAATCAGCTGAAGCTCCTTGACGTCACAGTTCGAGACGCCTAGCGCCCGGGCTCGACCTTGGTCATAGAAGCCTTCCATGATGCTCCAAAGTGACTGCAGCTGGGCAGGGTCCGCCGGAGGTGTGTGCAGCATGTACAGGTCGACGTAATCTGTTCCGAGTTGGGAGAGCTGAAAGGCAAAGACATCTGCTGCGTAGGCGATATCTGTCAAGCCCTTTGGAATTGAAGACGCCTTTGTCGCTATGAATATGTCCTCTCGTGGAACACCACTATCCGCAATGGCTTTCCCAATCTCTGCTTCGTTGGCATATCCTTCCGCCGTGTCCAGGTGACGGTATCCAGCTTCCAAGGCCCAACGAACTGGCTGATATGCTGCCTTGGCCCAAAGCCTCCAAGTCCCAAAGCCCACCGCTGGCATTCGAGCTCCCGTGCGCAGGGTAAAAGCGGCATCTCGGAGGGAGCTTTGGCCGTCGGCAGGCCAGACCCACCGCTGCCTCGACCTTGTCAAAGGCAAGTGCACCATGCAATCTTTCTAGGCTTCTACAGGACCCCTGAATGTCAGTCAAAATGGTCTTGGACAAGTGACGGTTGCAGTGGGATTGACAAAACCAGAGGTGGGTGAATCTGCAGGTACGGCCTGCAGGACAGATTCAAACAAACTTCAACAGCACATCTTGGCCGCTTGGCCATGCGCCCAACCCAGCCTCAGCTCATTGAGCAGCTGACGCCCTGCATGAGTAATGTCCTTGTGAGGCGAAGTGCGAGACAAAAAAAATACCAGAAGGGGTGGCCATGGGGCCTGGGTTTTGGTTTTCCATACATTTTCATAAATATTAGGTAAATGCATCAGTGCCACAATCAAAACCAAAAAACACTGATAAATATGCATAAAGGATAAAAAGCACATAAGAAAAAAACAAAAAGAACTAAAAACCATGGGAAAACAAAAAAACTTTAAAAAAAAAAATCAGGGAGACTCTTGGCTGGACCCCCCAAAATCAGAAAACCCAAAAAAACAAAAAAAACTTGGGAAAACCAAAAAAAAAACAATTCTCAGAGACTCTTGGCTGGACCCCCTTTTCCTCAAGACTTCCCCAGAATTTTTTTGTTTGGTTTTTTTTGGTTTTTTTGTTTTCCCAAAGTTTTTTTGGTTTTCTGAGTCTTCTGATTTTGGGGGGTCCAAGCAAGAGTCTCTCAGAATTGTTTTTGTGTTTTTTGTGTTGTCTCAAGGTTTTTTGGTTTAGCATCTGAACTTACTTCTCACCTCAAGGCATCTGTTCTTTTTGCTTACGTCTGAAACCGTCTGAGCTCAACACTTCCTTCGTCCTTGTCCAAATCTCCATATACAAGTCTGAGTGCATTAACTGCTGACTGGTATCAATGCGGTTGCCACTTGCATTTCCAAACAGCTTGACATGCAGTTGCGAGGACACTCTGTCCTTTACATGAAACGGTTGGAAATCTTTGCGAGCGTAATTCTGTGCTTATAGCTCAAGCGTTTACATCTTATTCTGGCGAACTTCTAATTTTAATTCTAATTCCTGTCTAATTCAACTCTCATCTAATTTCAATTAGGCTATAGTTATAGTTCAATACAAGTTTATTAAAATTCGGTTTTACTTCAGTTTTATTTTAGCTCTAACTCAAATCCAATTTACTTCTACCTAATTCTATTCTAGCTCTAGTCTATTTAGTTTAAGAAAACACGTGCTACAAAACCCCGTGTTTTACAGTATTTTTTTGCCCTGGAAGTGCTGGGAACAAGACTAAAACCCTTTTTTGAAGTAAATAGTTAGATTTGTTTATTGTCAGTAATCACTGGAGATAATATATACATATTAAACATGTTTTCTGTACAAGCTTCTAATTCAAGAGCTTCCCTCTAGATCTCTGGGGATGATCATTTCTACAATAAAACTTTTTTTTAAGCTTTCCTTTCAAAAGCTGTCCTCTGGATCTCTGGAAATGGTCACGTCAATTGAAACATGCTATATATCAATAAATAAGTCTTTCTTTCAAGAGCTTTCCTTTCATGAAAACACATATAGGGATATCTACTTTCCCAGAGATCCTGAGGAAAGCTTTGAAAATGCAAGCTCTTGCCCGCAGAAATCTAGAAGAAAGCTTTTAACATACAAGGTTTCTGTATGGTTGTTTAAATCTAAACATGATTATCTGCAGAGATCTATAAAGAATCTTTTATAACATAAAAGCGTCTATACACAATCTTTCCAAAATCTAAATATAACTATAAGCAAAGATCCAGAGGACAATTGTTAAAACGACCACTTTTATGGCCTGCTTCTTTTCTAGTTATCTTGTTCAAAACCATCTGAATGACTGATTGCTGCTTCCAAAACAATAAAATTATCCTGACTCAGGAATACATAATATATTTGTTCATATAGAGTGAGAGCAAGAATAGATATGTGTGTTTATATGGAGAGGGGCTGCCACTAAAGCATGTACCTAAAATTTAGGGAAAACCAAAACCCAGGCCCCATGACCACCCGCTCTCAAAAATACGGCCTTCCATGATCCCAAAGCACAAGGTCTGTGACACCAGGGCAATTTGGCAAGATTTTTGGCCCTCAAAGTTTAGATGGACGATCGAAGATCCTTCGCAACAGTAGGGATTGCACGAGCCTCTCTTCCCTGGCCAACGGTAGGAATCATGTGCGGATGGCACATCCAATTCAATGCTAGCAACGGCCAAGTGAGCCACGATGGGCATCAGCATGAGTTGATCCTCAGCTTGTATCAGCTTGTTCTGCATTGTTTCTCCGCTGCTTTGAGATGGAATTTTAGCAGTTATGCCACAGCCGTAGGGTCGAAAAAGCCATGCTGCCAAAGTCTCGACAGCAAGCAACAAAGCTAAGACCTTCTGGCTCGCGGACACCGGAAAGGACATGTCCAGGTCGGAAGTTCCAATCTGTCGCTATGTGAGAGTCGAGTCGTTTCGTCTACAACACACGGACACAAGGGACTCATTGGACACGCCTGGGCTACAAGTAATGCTCTCAGATTGTTTAACACGTACCTGCGCAGCAGGAACGTACTTGGGAACTGACTGGGAACGTCTGAGAACAAGAATTTTCCCAACAGCCCCTGCAATGTCACACTGGATGGGAGCACCGCCATGTGAAGACTGTTGAAAGGAATCCAGCGCCACCGTGCTCCGGTTGGGCTGGGCAGCCCTCGGTGCATCGAAGAACGAAGGATCGAAGCCTTCGACGGAAAAGTCTGGGGGACGGAGAAGGTAAGGGCAATAAGGGGCCGGGGCCCCCTCGAAAGGGCCCCCTTCTTAAGGAACTCCCGCTTAAAGGAATTACATAATTATATAAGGGTTCCTGTTTGTTCCTTCCTTTTTCTTCCTCTCTCAGACCTTCTGTTTCTTCAATAACGAATTCAGCCAAATGAGCCTCGGCGTGTCCGTCTACGCCATGATCACACAAGCGAAGGGCTGGCAACTCTGCAGCCCAAAGCGCTGCCTAGGGCACATCTTAGGCCGAGGTCACTAAAAATGTCCCAAGGCCTCTTGCAACATGAGGGCATATTCATGGGACCCACAAAACTGCGCAATTGTAGAGGTGCATCAAGCCAATTGGTGGCTCATTTGTTGAAGCCTTGTCGGCAGCTTCTATTACTATTACTCTGACTGGCCTGAGCGAAGGGCACAGGAAGTGCCACTGTCGCTTCATCTGGCGTGAAGCTTAGTGCCAAACCTGCAGGTCAAGGCTTGAATGGCTTTTTACCCCGAGGCTTGGCATGTTGGCACCTGGAAGAGCCAGCAGCCTTGCCAGCATTGCGGGCAGTTGGCCACACGGGCCAAAAGCGCATTTCAGATGTGGAGCCCTGTGTGCATGTGGGCCAACGAAGGTTGACGGACTTTCTGGCAAAACCGCTGTCTTGACTTGCATACTGAAGCCCCCTACTCTAACACAAATAAACACGTCGTTCCTGCATGCACACGACGCATTTCTTGCATCGATGGAGCAAGGGCAAATGCATTGGTTGGCAATCTTGTGATGTGCTTTTGCTTGTTGGTCATGGTTTGTATGCGTTGCTTTGAGCAAATCAGCCAAGGCACCCTTGAAAGGGTGCGGCCACAGATGTGTGAATGTGTGTGTGTGTGTGTGTGTGCGGTATGTTCAAGACAGAGTTAGACGGCAAGCGTAGTGTATCAAATAGCGCGGTCTTTTTCTTCATCCAGCTCAACACCAAGGGACCACATCCAGCACTAGAATAGAATCTCCAGCATCAACAACGTGCTCCCTCACAAGAAATCAAATGCATTCTTCGGAGCTGCCGTGGAAACCAGCACCCCTGCAAAGAACTGCATGAAAACGAGCGGCGAACGGTTTCGGAGGCATTCAAGCCAACTTGACATGTCGACACGCCTTTGGATGCGCCGGCCAGAATGGTGACCTTGGCAGCTTCACGTGGTGCTCCAGGTGCCGTTGCAGTGGTTGATATGAGCAGAGATCTGAGGGACCAGATTCAGATTCCCTCACACCTTTCAACGAGGCTCTCATCACTTCCCATGACACTTCCCAATCTCACACAAATCTCTGGGTCCCCAGGCCGGAAGGAGTGGCAGCATTGAGCCCTGATTCGGTGGTCTCGTCACAGCACCTGAGACGAGACCACTGAGCATGCTTGAAACTGAGATGAGACATGTGGAGACATGTGACATGATTTTCCCTATCATGTGGCCCTTCAATCAAGGTACTCTGAACAGATTCCACTTCTTCGATATCCAGTGGCCCTTTCGTGGTCAAAGTGTCGGCTGGGCCTTGCCGCCAAGACATTGACTGCATGTGTACCAGATTGTCTTTGTTTTTATGTCTGTTCCTTTCTTCCATTCGTTTTGTCTCTCTTTAGAGCTTTGGGCTTTCATGTTCCCTTCTGTCACAATTCACAAGCTGCCTCTGTCCTGCAATGGATCCAAGTACCTTATGTCACGTACATCCATCAAGTGAGAATCATCTGTGACCAAAGAATTGAGGGGCATTTGCTTAGGTATCGGCTGACGTGCTTCCTCGGATCTTGCAGCAGCATCTGCCAGCGGACGGCTGTCCAGTTGCTCCTCACTGGGAGCAGCTTAGTGGACAAAAATCCTAGCAAGTCCTTCGAAAAAGCGAAAGAATCCCAAGAAACCACAAAATGCCAAAAATTGCCAGACAAAAATGCTTGATGTCTTCTCAAATCTTCAACAATGCCTGCCAGGACACTCCGTTGGACGCTGAAGCTAGGGCCCGTTCGGCCTCCAGGAGATCCTGATATGCCTAGACAGGCGAAGCTAGGCACGGCATGCCCGGCCGACGGAACACTGATGTCACGGCCACGGCCTTGGTGCTGACCTTGGCCATCCTTCCCCCGCAGCAGCAGGTCATGGCGCTCTCCTAGAGACAAGGCGGGGCACTGACGTATGCTACGTAAGTCCCTGTCTGGCTAGGCAATGCAATGGCACACGCAACAAACACTAGACCAACTGCTGTGCAACTCTTGCGCCTGCACACCGCCAAAGAACCTTGGGGATGCAAACTGGGGTCCGGGGTGCTGGATGTTTCGAAGCACAACGCCTTCGGAGCAGCTCCAACATCTAGTTAGTCCAGTTAGTTACGGAGAACTGCTGGTAACTGTTGGCTTCCAGAGAGTTTTATGCATTGGTTGGTTTGATCATTGGATGCAAGCATTGCAAACAACATTATTGCCAATGCAAGGGGCTGAAATGCTACTGCTACTTGCAAACAAAAGGCTCGTTTTGAAGCTCTGCCGATGCCTGCCCAAGACTGGCCAATAGGCTGCCTGCCTAGCAAGTGTTTGTCACACAATAGAGCGCGGAGCCTTACAAGTCTGCAATGCCCCAAAATCAAATTGGCAATAGCAATTAAACACGGGCAAAGGGCATTTCGCGGCATGGCGCAAATGCGTAGTTATCCGACATCAAGGCACTCTCTGAAGTCTGAGATTTGTTGTCTTGCCACATGTGTCGTTAAAAGAAGGCTTGCATCCTTTTGGTCTGGTATCTATTTGCACCAGCTATGATATCCATATCCATGATATTCCTTGGTTATGAGCTCTCCAACTTCTAACGCATTGGATTATCATACTATCATGGATGGATGATCCATATCCATGAAGCTTTTGCATGATGCTTCTGAGGCACAAAAACATGCGGTAGTGATACATCACTCATGCTATAGCTGAAGAACGGCGTCAAAAATCCAACAGTTATTGCACTGAGCCGGCAGCCATGGCCATGGAATAGGTTGTCTTCAAAATACCCCTGACATGCAAATTTGCAAACCAGTGTGCTTTTCTGTCCATCTGCTACAGCATATGTCTGAAATTATCCATAATTCATACATGTTGCCTTTCTCCCGTTGTCCTCTCATCTCAAACTCAACATCTGGCGTGGCCTTGTAGGAACAAGCTCCGTGATCATCGGTCCAATTCAGGGTTCCTACCTGCAAGATGAGTCGAACATGCTCATCATGAACAAAAGGCCAACTCTAGAATCGGTTCAACCTAATCCCGAGTACCTATTAAACAAGATGGAACCCACGAACCCGAATGGAAACACCTTCGAAAAACTACATATGTCCAAATCACACTCTTGTAGGACACTCTTGTGGGACACTCTTCTGGGACACTCTTGTAGGAAACTCTTGCAGGACACTCTTGTGGGTCACTCTTGTAGGAAACTCTTGTGGGACACTCTTGTAAGACACTCTTGTGGGACACTCTTATAGGACACTCTTGTGGGACACTCTTGTGGGACACTCTTGTAGGACACTCTTGTGGGACACTCTTGTGAGACACTCTTGTAGGACACTCTTGTGGGTCACTTGCAGGACACTCTTCCACGACACTCTTACACGACACTCTTGTAGGACACTCTTGTAGGACACTCTTGTGGGACACTCTTGTGGGACACTCTTGTAGGAAACTCTTGTGGACACTCTTGTAGGACACTCTTGTGGGACACTCTTGCTTGTGGGACACTCTTGCTTGTGGGACACTCTTGTGGGATACTCTTGTCGGACACTCTTAAGGGACACTCTTGTGAGACACTCTTGAGCGACACTGTTGCGGGACACTCTTGTGGGACACTCTTGTGGGACACTCTTGTGGTGTGGGACACTCTTGTGGGACACTCTTGTAGGACACTCTTGTGGGACATGTGGGACACTCTTGTAGGACACTCTTGTAGGAAACTCTTGCGCGACACTCTTGTGGGACACTTTTGTGGGACACTCTTATAGGACACTCTTGTGGGACACTCTCTTGTAGGACACTCTTGTGTGTCACTCTTGTAGGACACTCTTGTGGGACACTCTTGTAGGACACTCTTG